TATATATAATCACATATATGTGTGATATTATATATGTATATATCACACATACGTAAACATTTATAAATTATACATATTATACACACACACACACACATATATATATATACCCACAAACACAAAGGGATATTCAGCCTTCAAAAAGAAGGAAGTTCTGCCATTTGCAACCACACAGGAGAACCTTGCGGGCATGATGCTAAATGAAATAAGCCAGACACAGAACAACGGATACTGTGTGATCTCACTTCTGTGTGGAAACTAAAATACTGGAACTCACAGAGTCACAGAACAGAGTGGTGGTCTACAAGTGTTTTTGAAATTAACAAAATGGCAAGTGGTCATCCCCTCATAGCCACTAGGAGGAATCGTCAACAGCCAAATATTTCCAGACGGGTGCCCTTATCTGACACCTAACAAGATGGCATTTCCTGGAGCCCCAGGGGTTGGACAGAGCCCTGTCACTGTCACGAGGATAGGGTTGTGACAGCAACTGGCATGTGACACCGTTGAACCAGAGCAATTAATTGCCAGGACAAGAGTCTCCAATTATTTCTCTTGCTGCTACAGTAACTGGCCGGGGCCAAGAGACTGGCCAAGTCCCCAAAATGAGTTCCCAGAATAAGGATCATGCCAAGCCACTAGACCAGAGGTCAGGAAGCTTTTTCTGGAAAGGCTTTGCAGGATGCATATGTTTTCTGTCACATACGCTTCTTCATTTTTCTTTCACTCTTAGAACATAACACATTCTTGGCTTCTGCGCTCTGCAGAAACAAGCCACCGGCTAGGTCTGATCTGTGTGCTACAGTTTGCCAAACCCTGGCCCAAACAATCTATGAGCTGCCTGGCACAAGCAAAAAATAAATCTGTGTTATTTTAAGCCCCTGAGAGATGAGACATGATTTTTTTTAACATTTATTTATTTTTGAAAGGCAGAGAGAGACAGGGCATGAACGGGGGGGAGGGGGGCAGAGAGAGAGGGAGACACAGAAACAGAAGCAGGCTCCAGGCTCCGAGCTATCAGCACAGAGCCCGACGCGGGGCTCGAACTCACTGACCGCGAGATCATGACGTGAAAGGAAGTCGGCCGCTTAACCGACTGAGCCACCCAGGTGCCCCGAGACATGATTTCTAAAGCAGCATAACCCCACCTATCCTAACACGATAAAATAAAATAGAACAGAAGAGACAAACGTCACAGCACATCACACATAGTAAGGGTAAATATCATTTTTATTAAACTTTCAGTTTTATATATAGATGTGCATGATGCCTGGGTTTTGATGTAAAATGGTCCCAATGTTTATGGAATGGGTCGTAAATCCCCTCCCTGAGGGCCATGGCTGAACAGTTCCTGTAAGCCAGTCCTCCCTTGCTCTCAACCACAGCACCTCATCATGTTGTTCACAGCACTCAACGTGAGTTTTGCTTACCTCTTTGTTTCTTTGCACTTGCTTGGTCTGTTCCCCGCCTCCCCCCCCCCCACAAGACTGTCTGTTCCTGAGGCCAGAAGCCGTGTCCACGACTTGCATCACTGAAAACCCTGCACCTGCCTGGGGTGTAACAGACTTTCCATTAATATCTGAATGCATAAATGAACAGGTACTTCCTTCACACACACATAGGGTCTCTGGGTAGGGAAGGGATACAGAGATCCAAGGAGGGCACACTTCCAAATGGAAAGTTCCTTTCTAAGAAGCCCTGACATGCGCAGCAAGCCCAGGGAGACAGAGAGAGAGGGGGCTGGATGGCTGTTAGAGAGGCGGCTGGGGGACAGTGGTCACACAGCCTCCCCCCAAATCCAGACATCCGCGGTGTGTAAGGGGATGATGTCTGTCAACTCCCCAGGATTGCACGCGGCCGTCCACGTTTGTCTCCAAGAGGCTGAAAAGCACAAAATGCTAAGAGCACAGGGGCACCGTTTTATTTATGCCCAGATGCTGATTCCACACAATACCTACATTTCTAGAGCACCCTGTTAAAATTCCAAAGCATTTGCTTACGTTTTAAAATCTCTTTGTGTAATCTTAGAAGACCTGTAAAACCAGTATCCTTGTCTCTTTTTTGCAGGGAAGAACACTGAAACCAGGTTCCCTGGTTTGCGCAGTGTCCCGCAGCTGTGGGGTCACCTAGCTGAGCAAGGAGCCCACGTTTCTGACCCCACCGCAGGGCTTTTCACCAGCTGTGGCGAAAAGTCTCTAATTCCCCCTTGGCTCATGGCTTCTGGGTTGAGCTTCCCTCCCACCTTCTCCTGATTTCTCAATTCCCTACCTGGTTAATGGGCCTATGTGATCATTTCATTCATTTGGAAAGGTGGGTTTATCAATGAGGCGTTCTATTGGTTCTAGGTGGGGTTTTTTTGTGTGTGTTTTCTTTTGTGTTTTTAAAACAGCTTTATTTAACTATAACTGATATACAAAAAACCCGTCCCTATTTAATGTATACAAGTTGGTGGGTCTGAACATACACAGGCACCCATAAAACCATCATGACAACCAAGGTAATGAACATATCCTTCATCTCGAGAAGTTTCCTCCCACAGTTTCTCCGTGTTTGGTCATAAGATCTCTTAATTTGAGATCTCCCCTCTTAACAAGTTCTTCCGTGTACGATACCATGATGTTAACTGCGGGCACGATGTTGTGCGGCACATCTCTAGAGCTATCTCCACTTGTGCAACTGAAACTTTATGTCTGCGGAACAGCACCTCGCCACTCTCCCCTCCGCCACCCTGGCAACCACCACCCTCCTCTCTGCCTCGATGAGGGTGACCCTGCCGGGCTCCACGTACACACGGAATCACGCGGTATTTGGCCTTTCATATCTGGCTTATTTCACAGAGCATCATGCCCTCCAGGTTCACCCACAGTGGTGCCCACGGCAGGGTTTTCTTTCTTTCTCAAGGTGGGAGACTATTCCACTGTATAGACACGCGCATTTTCGACGCCCATTCACCCATGGGGCGACGTTGAGGTTGTTTCCAACCTTGACTCCCGTGAACAATGCTAAGCTGAACAGGGAGTGCCGATATCTCTTCGAGATTCTGTTTGATGTTTTTGTTATTTGGACTTCTCCTCTCTGGGTTCCGTCACTAACGCCCTATCCCCTGATGCCAGGGTCTTCCTTTCAGATAAAAAGATGATTATTTAACAGGCTGAAACCCAACCACGTGGCCAAGGCATCACTCACTACTGCAGCTATCTCTACAGGGAAGGCCAGTAGGGAAAGGGGGGAAGGGGGAGAGGTGGCACACCTGCCCCCGAGGCCACAGCACCCCTTCCCTGGGGCTGCTCCAAAGGCCCGGCTTCTGGTCTCAGAAGAGAACCAGCAGCTTCTCCAGCTGGGTCTCAATAAATAAATGAAGGTAAGGGTAGCTCCACCCAAGGGTGTCAGTGGTTTCGCTTGGTCTTTGACTGTGGGATGGAATACTTCCTCCTCCATGAAAGAACCTTCCCCCCAAAACAGGAGAATTCTCCCCCTTGGACGGAAGGTCCCTGCTGCCTT